CCATTGATCGATGGCTTGGCTTCACCCTTGTAGCGCTTGCCAGCCTGGCATCCCGCGAAATAAGCATCCATTCATCGACATTTATTTATACATATATATATGTATGGTTTTATATATTGTTTCATCATGTTTCATCCATTTATCATTTATCCATGATATTTCAAAGATCTTTGATATCTTTGATATCCAAAACATTAGACGACAACAACAACAACAACAACCTCCTTTGGAGCTCTACCACCTTTTCCTGGTTTATAAGAACCACATGTTTCCCCTGTGGTGACTCGCTTCAAACATCCCGAAATTCTCCATGGACCAGGCGTTGGCAGCCTGGAAATTTCGCCATGTCGTGTGCTCCAAGTGCGCTTGCGGCACTGTGGCCTGGGCAGCCAGAAGAGAAATAGTGCTTGGAGAAGTCGTCCCCAGCACAAGTCTTATATACGTATATATATTTATAGAGAGAGAGAGATAGATAGATAGATAGATAGATAGGTAGATAGGTAGATAGGTAGATAGGTAGATAGGTAGATAGGTAGATAGGTAGATAGGTAGATAGGTAGATAGGTAGATAGATAGATAGATAAGTAAGATAAGTAAGATAAGTAAGATAGATAAGTAAGATGGATGGATGGATGGATGGATGGATAAACAGATAAACAGATAACAAGACAAAAAAATAAAAAGAAAAAATAGACAGATAGATTGAAAGATTGAAAGATAGAAAGATAAACATATAGATATACAGACAGACAGACAGATAGACAGATAGATAGATAGACAGATAGATAGATAGAAAAAGAGATAGGGAAAGAGATAGAAATATATAGAGACAGGTGCATCTTTATACATGTGTCTGTACATTGGACAACTATATATATATAATTACATATACATATCCATAGCTATACACACGTACCATTATATATATATAATTATATATATATAATTATATATATATATATAATTATATATATATATAATTATATACACAATTATACACATACTTTTTCAACTTAAAAGCATGGCAAGGCAGGACGCGGCATTTTCTGTGGCTCCAGCGACCAGCTCATCCTCCGTGATCTCAGGTGGCAAAAGCCGGACCAAGACCTGTCGTTTTCCGAGGATCCGGAGGATTGGATCGAGGAAAATCCAACGTTTGCAATAGGTACCCGGCCTGGTAAACATACAAAAAGCATCAAAAAGCTATTGAAAATTGCCATTTATAGTTGATATAGTTGATTTACCCATTAAACATTGTGATTTTCCATAGTTCTGTTAGTTTACCAGAGGGTAAATATATTATAGGTAAATCATCCGTATGTGGGCCATTTTCCACAGCTATGGTAACCTAACATTGCTGTGGAAAGTTGTCATTGAGTTCGTTGATTTACCTAGCTATAAAAGGGTGATTTTCCATAGCAAACTGTTGGTTTACCAAGGGGTAACCAGTTTCGGTGGGACAACAAGGGAATGTGTGCGCCTTTCAAAATGCAAAATCACGTTCTGCTACCGGAATACAATTGGTACCGATAATGTGACGTGGGACTCCCCGAAAATATGGACATCTTACTAAGGGAAATGATGATACTAAATGATACTAAATATCAAATGATATCCCACTGAATTTCCGGGGTCCCCTATTCTTGCATATATCCAAATCAAGACGAAAATCAACCGCTGGGACAGGTGCAACATCACTCCAACCTTGAGAGCTTCTTTGGCCATTCAAGCCACGTCGGGCCTGCACATGTCAAACTCGTCCCCCAGCGCAAGTCTTTTTTTTGCTGACCGATGACATGCAACACAGGAGCCTCAATAGTACCATAGACAACAAAAGCGCGTCTAGAAAGTCAAAATGCGTGATGGATGTGGCCTTTGAAGGGTCTGAATCAGTTTGAAACGGCTATAAACATCTCTAGATTCACTTGATCTGACTGTGCAATGCTAAGTCTTGAATCAAACATGTGCATTGCAGATTTGCACAGTGAGTCATCTGGTCAAAATACTGAGATCATCTGGTCAAAATACTGAGATCATCTGAGATCTTTCGTGCAGCAAGTGCTCAGAATTCTGAAACTCTTTGGAATGCTCCAGCCATAGGCAGCCACAGCAATGTTCTCCAGGGATTTCTGTGGGTCAGCATGGGTCAACATGGGTCTCCGAGGATTCAGCTACCCTCTGGTTATGACATTCACAGTTCGCCATGGGAAATGGCCCATAGGAATAGATGGTTTACCGGTTTACCTATTAATAGCATGGTGATTTTCCATGGCGAACTGTGAATGTCATAACCAGAGGCTACAGAATTTTTCTTCGCACAGCGGATGCCGTCGCTGGTTCAGGCCAATGTATTCTGGATGGTGACCGCTATCCACCCTGGTGGCCCAGTAATCGGATTCTGGATGCTCAGAAAAGGCCTCCAGAAGGGTGATCTGCGGTGAACTATGCAAGGAAATCCACAGCCTTTCGGGCCTTTCACAAGCAAATCTAAGCAACAACTGGGGTGCTACTAGAAGCTACTACAATGATCAAGGTGGCTGATCCTCTGAAATGCGCTGGACTCAATGTCATCAAACTAGATAGAAATATGATGAAATATGTGTCAGTGTACATATCATGTGTCTGTTGATCAGGTTCAAACAGCTGTTTTTACAAGGTTTGACCATCATTCGTCCTTGCATGAATGGGACTTCCACGCACTTAGGCGTATCAGCTGCCGGTCTAGGGCTCTGATGTAGTCCTGGTAAGTCAAGTGTGAACTTGCAGCTTGCTGCGGGCCATTTGTCTCACAAAATCTCACAAAAATATGTATGATTATGTATGTCTCTGAGTGTGTGTGTGTGTGTGCCAGCATTTCTTTTGTTGAGTATACTTTACAGATGTGTATGTATGTGTGTATACATGTATATATATATATATAACATTATATAACTAATATGTGTACCTGTTTATGTCTTCCCTCAATGCAAGCTGCCGGCAAAATTCTCATCTGAAACATGTTACTGTGCGCACATATAATCGGAGGGCTAAACGCATCAGCAGTGGTCGCAAACACGCCGAAAACTCTCACGCAAAAGGATCCACACTTCTTCAAAAGTCATTGACAAGTGTCATGGTATTGTATCTCAACCTATCTCAACCTATCTCAACCTATCTCAACCTATCTCAACCATCTAAATATGCATCAGCTTCTGCGCCAAAATCCATAGACAGAACCGGCCGGGCGTGCTTGCGGCTCAAGGGCTTGGCCTTGTTGCTGAATTGCGTCGTCCATTGCGTCCACTCCGTCCACCCGTCCGAATTCCTTTGCTGGGTGAGAAATTGGCACAGACTTCACCGGTCAGCTGAGACTTTTTTACAACAGGCTGGCCGAAAAGGATTTCCGAGACAATGATGTATGCGTGTCGTGCTTGGTTGAAAAATGTTGAAAAAGATGGGTGCAGTTTTGTTGACTTTGGAGAGGAACCTCAACGAGAATTCTTGTGGACCAGCGCGCGTTGCTATCGTTGCTTAGCGGCTTGGGCGGCTCAGCCTTCTTCGAGGCTCCAGGCAAACAAGTTGTGGAAAAGCGAAGCATTGCCAAGACGTGCCAAGATGCAAAACGAAGCATCCCGTTGTTGTGACTTCCCGAGGTTGCCAACCTGCTGAAAAAAAATGTTGATCAGTTGATCAAGGTCCATTTGTGGATAACTGTGGCGTGGATATTAAACATGTTTTGTCAGCCCTTGGAGTCTCGTGGCAAAATCCTGTGTGGCTCCAGCAGGTTTTTTGCGAAATCCTCGGGAGTGGCAACTTGCTCACGCAGGAAATGGGCACCCAGAAAGCATGGCCACCCGGTGGCCAATAGTTCCGATCGTCTAAGGAATGTTCCAGTTACATTTCCTTAGTTTGCACTTTGTAATTCAAACCAAACATAGCACAAAGAAAATATATGAAAATATAATATAATATCATAATCTCTTGGTGTACAAGTACAACGATGTATGTGTTTATGTGTGTAGACACAATGTGGCAAAGATGCATCTAGGCTCGAGTCATGGGCTTTGCAAGTAATCAGCAGGTATACATATTCTTTTCATTTCTTTTCTAGCATGTTGAGGTACAGTATACAGGAAATTTGTGTATGTGATGAGGCTGCAACTGGGATGACATTAATCGGAGCATTCCAAGCTTTGAAATCTGAACGTGTGTGTGTGTGTGGGGCGAGTGAGTTGTATTACCGCAGCCTGCAAAACCGTCCCTTGCGGAATTGCAGTTCTTGGGTGAGACGGAACAGGGGACTGGAAGCATTCTGTGGTTGCAAAGCATGAAGTGTTCAAGGCTTTTGGGCCCTGGTCAGTGCAGCGATCAGTTGCTGAGACCGAATGTTTGTCCAACTGGTAAAGTCAGAGAATGCCACAGAACACATCATCGTCTCCTTGAACTAGTAAAGCGGCACGCACTCACCAAGATTAAGACTATTGCGAACATCCATAGGTCGCCCCATTGAAAGTCTTCCACACAGCTCTGCCATGATCTCCGCTTGGGCAACAACAATGAGGTTAGGGTGTTGGTTGTTTAAAGCCTTGATGTATGCAAATGACTATTATATTATATATATATATATATAGTGTGTCTATGCGTATACAGAATATATATATATATAATACAATTGTATAATGTGTATATCATATATATATATGTATTATATATATACGATTATAATTGATTATATATGTAGTGGTTTTCTTGAGATTCCTCTGAGCTGGATGTTCATAGTTTGAACTCTCCCTGGCATTGCCAGTCCGCTCAGTCAAGATACTGACGCCTTGGCGAAGGAAAATCTGCAATGAAAACCAACCATAAAACCACCTATTGTAAACTACAACATCATATTATATAATATTATATAATTACTGTACTGTAATATCTATATATATATAGCCTAAACAATAAACATCAATAAACTATAATTAAATGCGACATCGAATATCACCAATGGAACCAATGGTTTAAGTTGTAACCTACGAATACTTATATTGTTGCACCAAAGCTCTGAGCACATGTTTTAAATGTTTGCTTGCTCATGGACACTTCAGAAAGGTGCAAAGGTCACGACGTTCTATGCTGAAGTTGTGCCGACGTCCTTTTCATAGCACCGACACCTCGGTATCGACATGTGTCGACTGTGGTCCAGTCATGTCCAGTCGACATCTCGGAGAGAACTCCACAAGGGCCCAAGGGCAGAACAGCTCCGACCACGAAGATCTTTTTAGGATATAGCCATTCATAGCCGCTGCCTCAGTGGAATGACCATTGATTGATTGAGATTTCAAAAAAGTGCCTTTTTGATATGTTAAGTTTGAATTATTGTCAAGAAAAATCATTGTCTTACGTATCATGATGGAGTCTAGTCTTTCAGCCTCCGTTCAATCCTCCGATGGTTCTGTATTGTTGTGGCAGCTATGTCGAACATTAAACCCTGCAAGTCTGACTGCACAAGTGTCAGCTGATAAGGACCACACGTTAAATTGGAATCTCTGCGTCAGTCGTTACCGGACTGTTGACCTAACTATTATCTGGAATGACTCAAAGCCACAAGAGAAAGGAAACGTGTCTTGCCATGGTCCAGTCGACTGTGAATCCCTTGATTTCGGGCCTTCGGATACTCGCAGTGAAAAATCTCAGTGCTGTGATTCGGACAGGACCGGCAGGCTCCGACTGCAGGGAGAGAGACAACACAGTTCGCCTAGGGCGTTCTTCCAATGCGTTGGTCGAATTGGTCCAGCAAGGTCCAGCTGGAGGACCCAATTTCCGAGGTATTGGCCCAACTTGAATTGAAATTGCACTGCCATGGTCCAGTTGGCGCGGCTTCTTCATGGCAACAAGAGTACCTTGATGACAAAATGCACGCACATGAAACATCATCAAACTGGGTCCATGGTTCAATCCACTACCTGGTTTTTTGAAACGATTCCTTCAGAAATCAGCATAAAGAATACAGGCGTTCACTCAACAGCTTTTCAGCAATAGGTCGCTTGTCAACGACTCAGCGACCAAGTTTCGCACCGAATTTGGAGTTATTATCTTCGAGGACGAAGCTGCCTGAGTTGCTGGAGCCATGAGCATCTAGAATCTAGAAATCAAAGGTATCACCAAACAGATTTCTAGAACCTTTGATGCCTAATTTAGCCAAATCGATGTGTTCTCCGGGCGAAATTGCTGAGCACCTGTCCCTTTTGATAGCGAATTGTGGCATGAAGGCGGCTGATGGACCTCGGATGAAATGGCGAATCCTCCACTGCCCCATTTCTCATTCTGTTTGTTGCAACCGGGGGCGGAACACATCTGCAATGCGGACATTGCTTTCGTGGCCTGACACAGCGAAGAGTCAAAGTTGGCCTTTGCCACTCCCCGCTCAAACCCCGGAACTCGGGGCGTTCAAGGCCATTTTTGGGCTTTCGCATCGACCATCATTTGAGTGACGGACGATATCTGACGATGTCACGAGCAAAACTGGGTTGTCCCTCATTGGTTTTGAAGTTCTTGTTTTATTGCCAGTAAGACATGAATTGAGGGGTGAAACCTCATCGAAGCTCATCGATTTCCATCATCGTTCCATGGTTCATGCGTTTCTCCATGATTTCCCGCTCCTCTGCCGAGCTTCAGAAGCTTGGTTTCTGCGAGGGAAACCTCAGTGCCAGGGATCTAACGGCTTTTTGTGGATTCAGGAAACAATTTTGGAGAGGCAATTTGGATCATTTTCTGTATATATTTAAGGATCATTGTGTTTGTATATATATAATATATATATATATATTAGATTTATCTACCATACATCATACATATATATATACTACTACAATAATATATAATGTCATCCCAATTTCATCCAATGCTTCACCCCACGGCTTCTGGGCGGTCGCCACGACGTGGAGACCACGGCTGCTGTGCCTCAGCTTGATGGGGATTCACTGATGAAACATGATGAAACTATCCACTGGATTCCACTGGATGGATAAAACTGGATAATATGGATTAATATGGATTATAATAAGATCATATGATATAATATGGATGGTTCTCATTGACAAAAGTGGATAAGATGGGAATATTAATCATTGTCAATATTTGTCATGTCAATGACCAAAGAATACCTCAAAAAATGACTTCAAAAACAGCTTCGTTTCTTGCGGACATCGGGTCCCCATGGGTCCCCATGGGTCCCCGGACTGCTGCGAATCGCGCATCATGTTCTCCAGGACCTTAGGTGTCGGTGTCATGCTACCCAGCTCTAAACTCTAAACCACTTGATTTCGTGATTTGGAAACGGACATCGTGACATCATGGGAATATGAATCCAGCAGGACACTAAAAATATCAACACATTCCTGTATCCTGTAGGCACATCCAATCTTTTTCTGTTGTGATTCAGCCTGTGGACTTGTGCCACCTGCTACTCTTTGCTTCCCATCGCCGCGCTCACTTGGGCTCGCCACAAATCACTGGGCCTTTGACTGCCTGTGGCAGCTGAATCTCCGGTGTGCTTCACATCGATACACACACATACATTGATAAATAAAATACCAATACATTGTATATTGATGTTCAATACAATATAATTATAATATATCCATGTATATCATTGTATATCAATGTATCTATCAATCATATCACATTATATGCGTCCATGTACATGTACATATGTGTGCGTTTATATGCCCTGTCACTCCATGTCCTGAAAATCTCGGATGCGGGTCGAAAATCTGGTTTTTGAACCCAACTTCCTTTTTGTAGTGGCATGTTTTAATAGTGTTTTCCCCATTTAGAAAATGCAACATGCCAATGTTCAGACACGTCCCGTTAATTCTCCCATGAATCTCCCATTAATCGTCCATGTCATGCAGAAATTCTATGAAATTCTCATCACCAACCACACCTCAAGCAGTATGCCTCGCTGCTCCACACTTCCACCGAGGCAGCCCCATTGTGACTGCAGGGCCCAGACTCCTTCCCTGGCCTGGGGCCGCCAACAGCCAAAATCCATCAAAATCCACCAAAATGTTGGTTGCATGGGGCAAAATTCGGCAAAATATGCTAATAATTGCTAATATCATGGCATTCTGAAGCCATGTGTTTAACTTGCTGATTTTGGGGTTCCGAAGTTGGAGACAAACCCCATATGAACTAACATGGAATCCTGGCTGCAGGGATATCGTGGGATGGGATCAACAGGCTTTTCCTGGCCTTAGCACGCCTTTCTGTAGTATCGGCAGTATCAGGCAGATCAGAACCTCATCAAAAATCATCAAAAGCTCACACAGTGATCTGAAAAGTTGATGTTCAACCAAACCCCCAGAAACATCATGAAACATCTAGAAACTGTTCATTGTTCCGCACCCCTATCCGCACACAGCCAAAATCCGACCCACTGGGAGTCATCACTGACACTCGTCTCAGCCGGTGACGAAAGATGTCAGCGACATGGCGTGCAAGAGCTCCATAAGCATCCCCACGGCCATCGGCACCAGCAGCCCCTTTGGCCATCTCCTGCAATCATCTTGGCCGAAGGATTCAGGATACTGAATCAGAAGGGACGGGGGTCACATTCGCCCCTACCTCAATTACCTTTCTACTCAATAAGTCATTCAACCTTTTAGGGTTTAAAACCGGGGACAAGGGGCATTTAGGGGGGACTGGGGGACATTGGTTGGGGGGCAACCTTTTAGGGTTTAATCTGGGGACAAGGGACATTTAGGGGGGACTTGGGGACATTGGTTAGGGGAGGTCCGCGGGCACTCACCTTTCTGCCTTTCTACTTATTTTTTTCATTCCACCTTTTTGGTTTTAACATGGGGACCAGGGACACTTGAGGACATTGTTTAAGATGTTTAAGGGGGGCCCGGGTGGAAGTTTCTTGAAATGGATGCTGCAACAAAGCATCCAGAACGTCTTGGAAGTTATTGGAAACGGATGTTACAACGTAGCATCCAGAGTGTCTTGGAAGATGCTTGACACGGATGTTGCAACATAGCACGCAGAACAGGTTGGAAGCTGCTTGAAATGGTTGTTGCAACGTAGCATGCAGAACGTCTTGGAAGATGCTTGGAATGCATGTTACAAAGTAACATCCAGAGCTTCGCGGAAGTACACAGCGTAGCATGCACAACGTCTTGGAAGTTGGTTGAAAACGATGTTAGAGCTGACTGTCACAGCTGGAAAACGATCCTTTCCCACCTCTAAAACTATTGCGCCTCCCACGCAAAACGAGGTCGAGTCACATTCGCCCCTACCCAAGGGTCAGCTGCACTCCTACCTCCACCTTCAGTAGGGGCAAGTGCGACCCCACACGAGGTAGGGCAAATGCGACCCCCGCGCCGAATCAGAACATATAATATAATAGCCATTAATATCCTATGTTTGTCCTAAATGAAAGGAGAAATCATCCAAAACTACCAGGAACTAAGCAACTATATACCAGTCTTGTTTTTTTTTGGTGAAAAACCGTAGGGTACTGACCCAGTACATCCCAGTACCATTGGGCTGATCCCAATCGCACTCTGATATGACGGTCCTGCGCATGAGCCTGTGTTGCAGACAGGAATTGCTCCAGAGGCTCGGAATCCTGCGGGCTTGTGATATCTTGTGATTGGATTGTCATTTGATGCCGATGCCGTCATTTGGGAATGGCTTAATCCACAGTTAATCCAGGTGATCCATTCTGAAATTCTAACCGTTCTAACCATGACCAAATTCATGAATGGTGACTCTTAATGTGGCTCCGTTTGTACCCCAATTTTGACGCAGTCCTTTGCATCGATGCAAAGCCCGCGGATCAAAAGAATGTCCAGCAGCAAATCGCTGTGCTGCAAAGGACCTAAAAAAAATGGCCACGACTCCACGACTCCACGACTCATGGTGATCCCCAAAAGTTGACGAGATCATTAAATGATGAAATATGATGAAATGATATTAAATGATCCCTCAGAATTTCTCAGATCATGATTGATCATGTGATTGTTGAACATGTTGAACATTTGCCCTACAAATGCGAGTTAGCAGTTGTGTAATTGAGAATGCAGACAGGTCTCCTTTCTCGCCATCTTTAGGCAGAGATAGGCCTTTGCAACCGTCAAGTACTCTTTGCCATCTCGGCAGAATCGAAGCCTGCCAGCTGCAGGACCGGTACTGGATGGTACTGGAATGTAGCACTTTTTTCATGGCAAGATGTCCGTCCTGTCTCAATTCCAGTCGCCAAAGCCTGGGGCAAAGAGATCCAAACGGACTCATAAACTTACTAAACAATTGAAACAATCCGTTTGTGCAAAGACTTTAACTTTCACAGTATCCTTTCTATGAACTGTCTGAGTTCTCAAATGCACTGCAACAATCATTGCAAATCCAAGCTACAGATTTAAGGCATTCAGCTGAACCTGTGCGGAAACTGGCAACAAAAAACAAATGTCACTCGTTGTGACACTTCATCTGCAGCTATTTTTGGACACGTGACATATCTGACGTGGCCCCCCAAAATGGATCAATTTGAAGTCTGAGTTGTTTCCCCAATTTTGAGAGAACTTCTATAATCCTAACCTATATAGTCATATATGGCTATAAATAATCACAGTTATATAATATATGGCTATCATAGTTCTATAAATAGTTATATAATATATATATATAGTTACGTATAAATATAGCCATAATTAATTAAGCAAGCCCGGCTCCAGCGCCTGAGGATCTTTGCCTTGTTCAAGGCCAGCAGGGCCCTCAGGCCAAAGCCTCTCCTGAGGCATAGCCCCCCATCAAAATTGAGAAAAAAACAAATCCATTTCTAAAACTTCAGTTGGCAAATTACTAAGTTATACTAAAATGTATCCAATCTGCATCTTCTTTGGGGCTGCCATATTTCAATGTGCTATAAGGATCTATAAGGATGTATGATCAGGTTTCTTCTCTCTGATGCATCCAAGCTTCGTCGAAAATGGCTAGGCAGTCATCAAAGTTTCCTCTTTCGCAATGCCTTCAGTTTGGAGCTGAGCACAAACTCCGCAACGTCATCAACGTCGTCAACTGTGTTCAAGCCGAGGAGCAGTAGGGCAAGGTGCCACCAGCAATGTGTGTACAGGAATGGGTGCAGTGCCTGCTCCGCGGAAATGTCTCGGAAATTTCTGTGGGTTTGGAATGAATCTAGGGACGTCCTTTGAAGCTTACCACCTTGCTTTCTGATCTTTCTGTCTCCTTGCCTCCTTTGACCATGTACTACTTCGCTCTTTGAGGAATCGCTCTGCATCTTCCAATCTATCCCGACCTCACTGGCTGATGCCAGCCAATTTTTTTTTTTAACTCAGATCCAAAGTCCAACACGAGGTGCTTGTAGTTTTGCATGTTTTTCAACGTGTGTTTTGCATGTTGTTTGCACTTTCGTCGCAAAGAAACTTGGCCTCCCAGCCTTGGAAATAGAGCGCATGTGCCATGCCGTGATCAAGCCAGGCATCTGGACCCAGGGTTGTTTCAAACGCCAATCCCTCCTTGGCAATCCTCTCTGCGTCCTGCACACACAAGGCACACACAAGGCCTGCGAATACATACACACACAATGCAGAAGAAGCCATTCATAGCTAAACTTATACTGAAAATTCCTGAAGCACAAAGCGTGAGCAGGTCGCTGGATGTGTTCGCATGTCACTGTCACACACGACCCACTGGTATCTCATGCTGGAGAACTTCAAGCAGTTCCCGATTTCAGATCACCCCTCCTTGTAGCAGCCTTGCTGCTCAAGGCCAAAGGCCCACATGCCGTGCAGATACCGCGGTGGCGGGACTGCTTTTCCCTAAGATGAAGCAATCATTGGCGGTGCTCCCGAATCAGATCGAGTCAAAGAGTAATGTCAGTGATGGGTAAGTTTACTTTGCCTTGAAATTTTGAAACCAGAATAAAAAAGGGGAAAAACGTCAAACAAGAACGAAAATACTAAAACCGTGCCACGCGTCGCACACATTTGCCGCCGTCCTTGGTGCCGCAAATCGCAAGAAGTTGGTGCCATCGGACCATCGGATCGGAGACGTGACATGTACGGTGCAGGCCAAGCGTCTCAACGATGTCAAGCATCTTTTGACCATCACCAAGTATCAGGCCCATAATGTGCCCACGTTTCACCTGATAGTTTCTCTCAAAAACCTCCAAATTGCTGCATTCCAGGATGCAACCGATGCTGATGCCATGTATGCCCACATGTTCAGCATGGTTTGGTGACTTGTTTTGCATGCGAGGTGCTGCAAATAAATCGGTCGGGTGTCGATTCACCACCTAAAATTCAGGCAGAATACTTCGTCCAGTTTTTCCACAAAAAAGGAGATTGTTGACTTGCCTCCCAGACTCTAAGAATCGAACCTCAGCCAAAGTATTGTAACACCCGACAGGATCGCTCATCAGTACCCATGAACGCCATGCCTGCACACCAAGGTGAACATAAGTGCGAAGTACAGCAGTGGACATGACAAGAAGACTATTCTCATCTCACTTCCTCCACAATGCTCATCCGGTCCTCCACATATTTGCATTCACGCCAAGACCACTTCTCCTTCTCCTGAACAAACAGGTTTTGACAACAAGGCTCCAAGGGAATGATGCCGAGCTCACAATCCACGAGACTCTCCTTGTCATCAATTAGCTGTTCCAGCAGCTCCTTCCAAAGGGTCAATAGAGGATCATCACCCCTTTTTAGGGATGCAACGTCAAAAAAATGAAGCCACCAACCACTTTACCGTCAGGGCGCCTTCATAATGTGACATTGATTTTAATGAAATAAAGATATTGATGCTACGATCATCGCCGCTATTTGTTCTGTTGTTGGTAATCCTATTGTTATTTTCCTTATAGCTATCATTCAATGTCATTGTTCACCACTGTATATAGAATTGCTGAGATTGTCGTGCATTGTCGTGCTACAAAATATGCATCAGTGGATATCAAGGTATATAAAAGTGTATTATGATATTACTCTTACTACTAATACTGTTACTACTACGAATACTGTCCTATTGATACTATTATCAATACCATTATCAATACAATTATGAATACTATCAACACCGTTGCTATTATCAACACTATGACTGTGATATTACCAAACACATCCATCATATACTGTCATATAACATGATTCTCTATATTCCATTATTATATGCTTAGAACACACTATTTTCATCTATAGTCACTACATAGTCACTATATCCATATTAGTACTTCATACTGATCTCGTGAAAATGTTTCTCATAAATGGGCACCATATTATATTCACTATATATATTAGTACTTCATATTAGTACCCACAGACGCCGTGTGTTGCCCAAACATTAACATTGAGAATGTCGTGCTGTCGAGTATATGATAGGAGAGATTGCAGAAAATACTGCGTATACGCAGTGTTTTCCGGTTTAGGATTCAAAGTCTTCAGAGCCTAGGTTTTAGGGTTTAGGGTTTTAGGGTTTGGGGTTTTAGGGTTTAGGATGGTTTCGGGGTTTTAGGGTTTAGGGTCTGGGAAATTTCAAAACACTGGCCCTGCGCAGGTGTTTGAGCATGTTGAAGGATAATGTCTAAACATGTTTAAACGCCATTTGAACCTTCCGGGCAACACGCAGCGCCTGGCCGTATTAGAACTTTATATAACATATAAATAGCATTATATAGTCTGAGTCTCTATAGCCGCCGACCCCAGCCGACGGCAAGGGGGAGCGCGTTAGAGAAGAGATTGCAAGAAGCAAGTGTCGAGGAACAGGAAGCAGAAAGCAAGCGAAAAAAATATCGGTTCAGAAAGCAACGTTAGGCACTTCGGGCTGCTGCATGGCGTTGCCGGTGCGCAAAGCTCTACAATTTTTGTACTATACATTCTTACAATTTCATACATCAATTATCATCAATTCATACATCTTCGTAATTTGCATACCATATGTTTCCCATCCGGCTTCGCACGTCAGCCTTCGCCCTGGCGGCATCTCCCTGGCAAAAGGCGCAGTCCGCCGCCAGGACTCGGGCCATGGGACTCTTTGGATCCTCCATGGCCTGGCGCCGTGGCCACGAAGCCATGGAAGCCATGCAAGCCATGGAAGCCATGCCGATTGACCTATGAAAAACGGATAAACATGCTAATTTACGTATGAAAATAATGAAAAATGGTGATGCTTATCCATTTATAGATCATTTACCTATGAACAATGGTGATTTCCATGGCTATGTTAGGTTAGGTAGGAGGAGGGTATCTATGGGATTTAACCAACCAAGATAGAATATACTTGAGGGCAAGGGGTAAGGGACGAAAGCTAGCTTGGCAGTGTGATGGGCATCAAACACAGAAGGTAGCGCAGCGGCGATCTCTTTTGGGTAGCCCCGGGGAGGGGTGACGGGGGAGGGTAGTTAAGTGAGAAGCCATGTATGTTGGAGGGGAAAAGGATGAGAACATATGATTGTTGTCTACTGTTGCACAAAGCAAATGAAGACTTTCAGCATAGACAAGATCATGACAACTGAGTCGGGAAAATTCAAAGGTCCACCTTCGGCACCGGAGTGGACCATTGGAAGCGCGGGAAGACGTTACGCAGTGCGAGGCGACAGTTTACGACGACAGGTGGATGTGCACATGTGCACACGCAACATGAAAATGGAGCAAGGCCAAGGCTCCATGCGGCGTCAAGTGCGAAAAGGGCAAAGTTGTGAGGGTCTAAAAGCCAAGTGTACAGTGGAAAGTGTGAAAGCGTAAACTTTAAAGTGTGAGTGCCACGTGTACAAGTAGAGTGTGGAGTGCCAAGTGTAGAGTGCGAAGTGTGAAGTGTAGAGCGTGGAGTGTGGGGTGTAAAGTGTGATAAAACTGAGAGTGTAAAGTGCGGAGTGTAATGTTTAGACTGTAAACTGTGGCGTGTGAAGTACGCTAAGAGTTAAGTGTAAACTGTCGAGTGTGGAGTGTGGCGTCTAAAGTGTGGCGTGTAAGTTCAGAGAGTAGAGTGTGGAGTGCAAAATGCAGA